GGGCGTTAAGGGTTAATGAAGCAACTATGATGTCTAGAAAGAGCTCACTGACTGTAAACTACCAAACATATCTATACAGTACCTGATGTGATATAAATATAAATATATATTATTAGTAACTTTAAAAAAATAATAATTTGAATTAGTACTGTCAATATGTACTCATAATATTTTATCCCAATCAAGTATTTTTAATCCTGTAACACGTCAGGAGTGAAGCTGCCTCCACATACCAACCACAACTCCTGCTAACTTCCTGGATTACGCATCATAACTCCGCCTCCTTCCCTCATTCTCTCTCCTGCTTCGGAGCACATGAGCCTCGCTCTGAAGATAAGAGCTCTTGACACGGGACTTCACTTTCTCGGCTCCTGGCATCTGCCACCTCCACCAGTCCATTCCTCTCTCCCTGCCTCTCTCTTCTTTTCCCCGCGGTTGTTTTCTTTGCTTTTAGATTATGCTGGAAAGACAAGACTTTTCCTTTGCCAGCAACTTTTCTTTAGTCTTTTTTTTTTCTGGTAGAAGCCTTGAGCAATAACGTCCTTATCAACAGCTTTCTATTTAAATCAACACATTTTCAAGGGCAAATGCATTTCTTTAAATAGTCCCATGCGGGGATATGCAAAGCACCAGCTGGTCGAACGACACATTGACGGGGGAAAAGGAGAACTGGAAAAGATGTAGAGAGATCTTGAGGGACACTTTACAATAAGGTCCCATTAGTTAATGCATTAACTAACAATGAGCAATCCTTGGTAACATTAGTTAATTAAAAATACAACTCATTGTTCGTTCATGTTAGCTCAGGTGTAAATAATATTAATACTTTTGATTTTATTAAGGAATTAGTAAAGGTTGAAATTAGCATTTAACAAGATCAGTATTTGTCATTGTTAGTTCATGTTAACATTGTTTATTATTGAACGTTATTTTTGTTACATTAACTGTGTTTTGATGGCTGTAGCGATGTTAATGAACATAAGAAACTTCTTTTAGTTATTTTTAATAGCTGTAGTGTATCTTCTGATCATTTATGCATTTAGAAAACACTTTATCCAAAGTAAAATACGAAAAGTGGAACACAAGGAATTTGTCAAGGAGCCAACGATACTCATAATATATACAATGCCAGGTCAAGTCAAGTCAAGTCAAATATATTTATATAGCGCTTTTCACAATACAGATTGTATCAAAGCTCCTTCACAGTATCAATCAAAACAACTTAACAGTGTTTGTTTATTACTGGAAAAAGACATCCAAGTTTGGTAGAGCTGATCAGTGGTATGATGGGTCATTTAATTTGAATATCCCCAACTGAGCAAGCCAAAGGCAACAGTGGCAAGGAAGTTGTCAGGTATATTTGACAACTAGATTAGGAAGCAAGCAATAGTAGAGGTGAAATACAGAGAAGTTGGAGATGAAAGAAAGTCAAAGATGCTCTCAAGTTTTAAATGTTTAAACAAAATGTAAGTAGACTAGTGGAGTACAGGTAGACAATTCAAAGTCAATGAGCGCCCTAGAGCCTATAGTTGGCTGTAATGACAGCTTCATCACACAGACGTGACAGGTCAGCTGAAGAGACACTCAGAGCAGATCTCAGAGCTTTAGGTTAATCCCTGAGAGGTGTTTTTTATCTGCGGCTTGATAAGTCGCAGGCCGCTGAAGTAAGGGAGGAAGATGGAGTATCTGTGTGAGCTGGATGGGGGTTTATCTGAAATCAGACTCAACTCCCACTCCGCGTGTCTCTGTCGGCTGACTAGATCGTTTCTTGTGATGGTTTGAATTTGAAATGATGCGGAGTTGGATAAACACTGGGCCAAAATTAAAAATGATGTTTAGGCAATAGCTTTATCTTCATACCAAGCCTCATCTTCCCGCCAGATGCTTCCCTTCACTCAGAGTCGCTTCTTCTTGATAAAGTACAGTCAAGTTAATAAATTGCCGTCATGCTACTGAAAAAAAGGTATATATCTCCAACAGAGTACTTTCCCCTTGATCCAAGTGTGCACTAGCCCTACGCACTGCCTTCTGATCTTTCTATCAAGCTCGGCTTCCCTAAAGTTCAGGAAGGGAGGACTGAGGTTTTACTTCATCCTCATTCATCTATCAGGTACGGCAGGTCTCTCTTCACATGCCAGATGATGCTGTGAAACACTACGCCACACTCCGAATGCTTGTGCTGGCTGAGGGACGGAAGTGGACTTTGCCCTCTGACTGCAAATCTATCAAAGAAACCCATTTTCTTTCCTCCTTCTTGTTTTTTCTTTCTTGTATCTTATATCCACTTTCCCTTCATGTTTAAAAACACCACCCTGATGTTCAGAGAGCTTATCTTTGTGTCTTTCCCTGGTTTACGCCTTATTTTCATCGCTCACACTCTCAGCCTTTCGTCTTTTAGTAGTGCTTCGATCTTCAGGCTTCTTTATATGCTCAAGTCTACAAGATTTCTAAGCTCTGAGAAATAGCTTTGAGGATAGTACATCTCTTCTCAATCTGATTTGAGGTATTGTTCATATCTTTAGCAATGCAGGATGGATTACAAGCTAAAAATGGCAGCTCTAAAAAATAATTTTGCTCTATTTATTTCAACCAACTCTAATATCGCACAAATCACAACTTTCCCACGGTACTCTGAGAGCCAAACACCATGGGACGGCGGTGACCTACGACCCCCCTCATGATTAACTGCCCATAAGCCACAGCGTTCCACCTGTTATCAGGTTATCTGGAAGGTCTGCGTGGTTTTTTCCATCATTGCCTCTAGTAAAACAACTAATCAGGTCTACCGGACTGTAAAGCGTTACGCATCGCTGAATGGAGACCAGCGAGAGCTTTTTGATGAAGGAAACGTGTTACTCTTTCACTCAACCTTGTTGTAAGATCTTGTTGATCAACATCATTCCAACTAGATAGATCACAGCTAGAGCTCATTACACGAACAACATGTATACGGTGCCAAAACATGTCAGAGAGTGCAATGCCAATGCGAGCGAATCAATATCAGTGCCCGAACATAACAAAGCACTTTCTTTCATGTCCTTTTGAACCCTGTGTGATCTTCTTTCCAAGTACTGACATTTCAGACACATTTTTTTTTGCTTTTGTGCAGAGAAAAAGTTTCATTAAATAGGAAAAAAGGCAGGCAGACCAAACAGAGCACACGTAATAAGCAGAGGATTAGTTTCAGAAAAATATGCGTGTGCTTGGCAGTAGTCCAGAGCTTTTTTTCCAGCTTTATTTGCACAGAGCGTCAACTAAACCCACTGTCTAAAGACAGACGCTTGCATCACAGCCAGCAAGTCAATGGGACAGAGCAACAGGAATGTCTAAACCTGCTCAACTGCTTTTTTGACATAGAGGGAAGAAAATGGCAAAAGACAGGCAAATCATCTCTCTCTCTCTCTCTCTCTCTCTCTCAGGATGACTGTCCCAAATTTATTTATAGGAAACCAAATGTGTTGCTGATGGACGTGACGTGAGAATAACAGTTTCCTTAACACCTACATACTGGTATTGTGAGGTGTGTCAGGCTACAAAATTTGCATAAAGATACTTCATAGAAGCACTGCATATCTATGTGACTTCCACTCGCTGTCAGCAAGAATGCACCTTAATATATATTTTTAAAAAATTGACCTCACAACAAAACGAACAACTTTCTATCAGCTAACACAGAATAAAATACATCCAAAAAAGCTAACTTGATTGTGAGATGTTTCCTAAATAACTGCAGAACAGTGTAGGGATCACCAGCAGGGCATTGAGAGTGATGCTTCAATAATGCAGCAGGAGGGAACATAATGATCCTACTATCTCTCTGTACTGTCCAATAAAACTGAGTGAGAGAATTTCACCTCAGCATGAACTTCTAACAAGAAACCCCCCACACTGTCCAGGAGAGAAACAGAAGGAGGAATATCTTAAGGGAGAACGAAACGTCTCCACCCCTCCTTTCAAGGCCAGATACTGCAGCGACTGATCTCACAGGAGATGATAAACTGTTTCCCCAGCTCACTTCAGTCTCCCAGCTTCATATCCCTTTATCTTTCTTTTTCTCGCTCTCCTCCCTGACTCTCACGTTCCTCCCTAAAGGTGTCTGAGCTCATCTGATGAGATCTGTGTCTGGTGTTCAAGGTCAGGTCTTCAGGTCCAAAAAAAATGTGGGCTCGACTGTTATTGGCGTAAATCAGTGCATTTCTGGATCTAAATATAAAATGAATGAAAATGAAATCACTGAAGAAAAGACACAAAGTGTACAAAGTCCCAAAAAGAGGCAAGTAAAGTCTCATGAGCTAATGTGCAACAAAGATTCAGTATATGTGCTGTAAACTATGATGGAACTAAATGTTAATCTAACAGTTGCAATTAGATGACTTGTGGGTGGAATGATGCACAAAGCAGGATAGACGACGTTCATTAGGGCACTTATTATATAACATTCAACCATTCCTGAAAGAGTACTTCATAAAATACCTTGAGATACCATACGTTTGTTGTCAACCATTTGGAATTCAAAATGTTTTGTTTGATTAACAAAGAAAAGTAAGGTCAACAAACATCACCCTGAATTCCAGTGTAAGGGTCCAGCAGGCATGTACATCACTACCACAACCTATTGTTTGAGTACAACCATGTCAAGAGATCTCACTTTTGAGTACAACCATGTCAAGAGATCTCGCCTTTGATCACCCTTTGAAAGCACTTGGTCTAAAGCAACCCTTTTACTCAGCCACATAAAAAGACTGACCTCATAAAAAACACTGCATGTATTGCAGTATTCCTTGAAGTTGCTGAGAGGCAATACAAAACAAAAGAGTAACTTTATCAAGTACTCAACTGTTTGCAAATGACTTTAAAGTTTCAGTTGTTGATTCATGCCATCCCTAAACTTTGACAAATTTTAAGTGTCAATACTGTTGTGTTTAAATGTTTCAAAGTAAAAAAATACATTGTGAAGTTGATTGAGCAAATGTTTACTTGGTTTTCTTGTTGCATTGCAGGCTTGAAGGGGTGAATGTGAAGGCAGCAACATGAAGCTCTTCCTCCCTCTACTGCTGCCCCTCCTCTTCTATCAGCTCTTGTCATCCCCGGTATTGGCCGACACCTGTCCGAAGGACTGTACCTGCCCAGTCCAAGACTCCATATTCTGCTTTAGCCGCAAAGACACTAAAATGCCCAGCGAAGTACCCACAATGACTAAGAAACTCTATGTGTTCAAGAACGGCATAGAGTCCCTTTCCCAAGAGGATTTTGTTGACTTGGACAGCCTGGAGATGCTGGATCTAAGTCAGAACAAGTTGACCGAACTTCCAGATCGCGTGTTTGAACCCCTGTCCTCTCTCCAAAATCTGGACCTGTCGGCTAACCAGATCACTCACATATCCAAGGACAGCTTTGCTGGACTGGAACTTTTGGAGAGGCTATATCTCTACAGCAACTTTATAGAGTACATACATCCTGCTGCTTTTGATGGACTACAACAGCTACTGGAGCTCAAGCTGCAAGGAAACAAACTGACAATAATGCCTGCTCTGAAATTGCCCCATCTGCTTCTGCTAGACTTACGGTTTAACAGCATCCCCTCGCCAGGGCCAGATGACCTCCAGACACCCAAGTTGGAGTCACTGAAACTGGGTGGGCTGAGGCTTAGCAGTCTGAACGAGGAGCTCTTAGGAAGCTTCAAGAACCTTCATGAGCTTGACATTTCCAGCAATCAGTTAACAACCTTTCCAGGAGTTTTGCGGGAAGCAAGGGGCTTGGTTTCTCTCAGTTTGGCTGGGAATCCTATGGGACCTATGAAATGGGAAGACTTTGAGAAACTTTCAGAGCTTCAGGAGCTGGATATAAGCAATCTTAGCTTGCAAGGGTTACCAGAGACCTTATCCCAGCTCTTTCCTCACCTAGAAAGACTGGCTGTCGCAGAAAATCCCTTCAATTGCCTTTGCAACCTGGCTTGGTTTCCTAGTTGGCTGCAAAACAAGCGAATTCAGTTGGGTAGGACGGAAGAGACACGCTGCCACTTTCCTCCTTTTAACTCTGGGAAGGTGCTGGAGAGACTGGGGCACCGAGAATTCGGATGTCCGATTACCACAACCGTTACGACTCGGACAGTAAAGACCACTGCAGTACCGCCAGCTCTGGTTACCAGTTTACCAAGTACAACACATGCAGTCCTCCATGCCAAACCTACTGATAACCCCTCTACAGAAACCGACAATGATCATCCACCTCCAACCCCTAGTACTAGTATCGACCCAGACCTAAGATCAACCTTCTGCCCAACCAATATCTGTCTAAATGGAGGAACATGTTGGCTGGACAACGAAGGACAATTGGAATGCATTTGTCTACCAGGGACATCAGGGACATACTGTCAAAATGAGAAAAACCCACCACCCCATGAGGACACTACAGTAATCGGCACTATGGAACCTGAAATAACTGCAACAGTGGTAACTAGCTCCTCTATACTCTTAGACCTTCACCGGTACATCGATATGCGCCCGCATATCCGTGGTGTAAAGTTAACTTACAAGAACCTTTCTGGACTGGATAAACGTCCTAAGCAGCTCAACGTTCCACCCTCTTATCCGGAGTACACGCTGCGTGGACTTCAGCCAAACTCTACATATTCTGTATGCGCCAGTCCGTTGGGTGAACCTGGGGGCTTGGATCGTGTATGCACAGAGGCCCAGACGGTCAGTCAGCAGCTAACTCCCACTGGAGCACGACTGGAGGACCCAAAGCTCACTACGATGCTCATTCCTGCAGTCGCCATCCTTCTTCTGCTTGTCCTAATAGCTGTGGCTGTTGGGGTAGCTTGCTACATGCACAAAAAGAAATCAAAGAGACACCTGGACTTAAAATGTGATCCGTCACAGCTGGAGCTGGAGGGTATGGACAATGGGGCACTACCCCAAAAGCAAGAGATTATATCATGTCCATCAACTGCGCAGAATGGTAGCTTGGACTATGAGGTGCCCCTCATGCAAGATCACTGTACTGCGAACAACAACATGAACAGTTTGAAACCCTCGTATTTCTGATAATTGCAAAAGTTTTGTGACTTACTTACATGCTAAAGCAAGAATTATACTGCTTTACAGGGTACCACAGAGGACAGTAAGAACAGCCACCAGCTCTTTGTAAAGAGACAGTGGCATTTAGGTGATTCCTGGTGCAATCCTGTAAGGACAATTCTGTCAAAATGACATCCTCTTAAAGTGCCTTTTATCATCTGAAATATGGAAAGACTCCTCATGCCAATCTTTCAACCAAAGATCTTTTATAATTTGAATATGGCTGCCAGTCGTAAAATGGACATAAGGCTGACTGAAAACAAAATGCAGGCGAAATATTGATGTGTAGCACCTGTGTGCAACTCTTAGGAGCTGCACTAACTGTGAACCGTAAGTCCTACATTTGTGTGGGCAATTGAAGATATTGACATCTTAAGTAACAAGGCTGACTCTTATGATGCTTTGTCTAACTGATAGGCATTGTTTCTTTGTTTTATATCTGTACCTTTCTTGTAAATGTTTTTGTACAAATATGTGACTGTTACCAGGCGGCTGCTCTTCCCCCATATCTTGTGACTTTCAAAGCAGACAAAACACCAGATTAAAAACTTTTAAGATTAAAATGTACTTGTACCACCAAGTGAATCAAAGGCTTTAGTTTAGAAATGTCAGACAGTCTAAGCAGTTAAAAGTCTATTGAGACTTGAAACTAAATCCCTCCTCTATATTTTAGCCCCTATCCCCTAATTCCTCACACAAATAGAGACAAAACGTAAGTCAAATGGAAATGGCTGATTGAAAAGCAGATTAATATACATTATGTTCAGTTGTAAAAAAAAGAAGAAAAAAAGTCTTGCAATATATTATTGGAAGCTACAAATTGGTGGGATCTTTTTAAAATATTTATTTATATACCAAAAAGGGGTTGTTTCCTATATCACTATTCAAAACTTAGTTCTGTCAGTTTGCAAAATTAGCCATTGCACTATTTACATGCAGAGAGTTTCCTCTTGCACTCACTTGCAGTCAACACCGTTTTTACAGATTAATACATTCAAAAACACTAGTGTTTCTTTGGCTAGCTCGAAGCATTAGCTAAAACACACACTCCAACTGCCAACTCTCCAGAGCTTACCATTCATGTGCAAGACACAACGAAAGAGCATGAAACAACCTAAAAATGACTGAGATCCTGGCCGTCATTGATCACTCTGAAATTTAAGCCACAGATACTGTGGATTCTTAAAGGTAAAGTTTACTGCAAAATGCCAAACTGAGACAGTGGGGAGCTGTGCTGATTTACCTCTGTGAGGAAATGTGTTACTATTTTAGCACTTGTTCTACAACCTGTCAAATGATGTTTCCAAAAAAATAAAAATAAAATAAAAATAAAAAATGTAAAAATGAAATTGTAAAACCTTCTGCTTAAAAGAAGAAGGATTTGTAATCAATTTTTTTTCTTGCTGTTGTTGTTGGAATATGCAAACTGGAAAAAATCTCAGCAGTATGAAGTACTGAAAATATTAGTGAATATTTTTGATAAGATCTGCCTCTAATTTTCCCTGTTTAATTTGGGAAGCTCTTTTTTTATACCTTTCTTTTGTCTATATGGAGATGTGTGTATATGTATGATGGTATTTTCAAAAAGCTGCAAATAAAACAAACAAATAATTTTTGTTTTACATTCTTCTGTTTTTCGCTCAAGCTAGCTGGTCATATTAGCAGCAGAGTCAATTAGGTTTACTGATGTTGAACGCATGTCTTTGTTTAATATGTTTTGGTAATAAGACTTAATAAACGAAAATAAATGTGAACACAGAGAGAGTGCTAGCATCCTATATGCCATCTGCAAACGCACCACACAAAGCTTTTATGAGGAATTTTAGGATTTGAGTGCCAGGGAAAGGTAATATATTTTCCCTTTATGGAGAAAGCCTGAGGTAAAAAGGGGATTTTTTATTAAAACCAAACAATTGCCAAATCTAATAGGTGCAGTTTTACCTCCATCTACGTCACTGGACTGAACATAATGAGGATTGTTTGTTGTTACACACATCCTTTACTGACCACCCACCTGCTTTACAGGTACATTTGGAAGGGTTTCGCAACAAAAGCTTGCACTACTTCCAAAGTCTGCTTATCTACAACCATCCAGCTGCAATCTGTTGTATATTAAACCCGTTTAACAACACAAACACATAAAACAGCCCACCGCTGTCCAGCACTAATAGCATTTCCATTAGTAATGAGCGCGATCATGTCAAACAATTAAAAACAACAGAAACTCTCACACAGCATTACCTATCGACTCAAACTGAGAGAACAAGACATCAGAGGGAGGCAAATTTGACCAGCGAAACATACAAGCACACGTCAGTCACAGGAGAAACAGGCGGGTCTGCTGTGTCGACGGCAGTGGGTAGCTGAACGTGTGTGTGCGTCTGCTTTCCAGCTTTTCAACAAAAGGTCTCCTTTATTCTGTGATTTTAAGAGAGCTGGTTCTCTGGCTGAACGCCAAAGCCAGACTCAAACTGAGCTGCTCAAAGGGCCTATTGTAGACACCCGAGCTGACTTTTTCAAATTATCTTCCAAAAAATTCCACAGAAAATTACTGCTGAGTAAATATTGTTCTGCTCCTTGTTTTTTTCTTTTTCTCTTTTTGTCATGCCGTTTTCATACTGTTCTAGGGTGATGACGCCAGGGCTTAACATAGATTTGTGTGTCTTAGGAAAAGAGGTTCCTCCTCACATTTGTTTTTCCTGGTTTATGCCTCATTCTTGCCATTAATACCTTACTTTACATACCTACAGGCAAAAACTAGAGTATGAACCTTACCATGTAGACCAGGGTTCCCCAAACTGAGATTTGTGAGAACTACAGGGGGGTTCGGATGTTGATGAAAAGCTAATAATTATTCATATCGAATGTATAATCAAAAATAAATAAATACAGGTTGCACGATTATCACAATATACAGTGTGATTATCAAATCAAAGACTGCAATTGAATTAAATAACTGAATAGTCTGATGCGCTGCATGTTTTATTTATTATTAATAATAATAGTAGTAGTGATAGATGCCGGCATTCACTTTTAAGTTTTAGTTTTTTCAATAACCACGCATAAACAATATTCTCTCAAAAATACAAACATGTACATACATGTTGATAACATATTATGGTAGCCCTGTTTGTGCTAAATAGAGTGTAATTACACCTTTGCCAGTAATTTGTTTATAAGCAACTGAAAAAAGCACAAATGTCAGAGTATGTCAAAACATCTCAAGGACCCCAAAAACACCTTAGACCCCAGAGGGTTAAAGGTCAAATATTTGCCATGATTTATCATGCAATTAAAAATCATACATGGAATTATATATAATATTTACTAATGAAAAAAATTGAAATAATGACCAATAAGTGATATGGTGCTGATGTATTATGCATCCTTAGTCCAGTCCATCTGATATCAATTCAAATTTTTACAGATCATGATTTCCGCAGCTTTTTGTACACTGAAAACCTTCATCTGCCAAACAACCGGCACACCAGCAGTACAACCCGCTCCTGAACAGACTGAACATTTGAGCCACATTAAACAAAGCAAACTGAATCGTACTCCGGAAGATATATTCAAATTGAAGAGAATCTTATTGGTCAAGATAGTTAAAGTAAGTTAATGTAGACTGAAGGCAGAAGGTCTGGACTCCATAGCAGCCTTCATTTGTCAAAGAGGACATCTGACTGACATGTAAAGCAACCAATCACAGTTCGTCATGAAAATGTAATGTCGATGTCCCAAAAATAACCGACCAGCGTGTAAAACTCTTGGACGTATTTTAAAGAGTCTACGCTGCCAACTTCACATTCTTCACATACTTCTGATCCTGAGTTTATTGTCACAGCTGTGCACACGACAGCTTTCTTTTTCCATGAGGGGGTTTGGCATCACAGCGGCTTTGGTTCATTCTTCTCACGTCTCCCAGAAATCTTCTAGAATTCAACCAATCAAATAACGACTTTGTAACTCCTGAAGTGTTTCCAATTTTTCCAAGGTGTGATATCGCTGCAAAACCTTCGAATGCTTGGTGTTTGCTGTTGCAGCGCGCTTTCCGAAACCCTCCACCTTCCCCAGCTCCACCTGTATAGATCTGCTACGAGTAATTCATGTGCGCTATATTGTAAGCATGTCTTACTTGCTCACAACAGCGTGTCATGCATGTATTGGTAATAACCAATAGCAGCAGCAGCAGCGTAGCAGATCTGTGCAGGCCTCAAAAAAGGATCGCCGTCAATGGAGCTAAAGATCGCAGTCTCTAGCGTCTTGCTAGCGTGCCTCTTGAGGCCAGAGGAGTGAGGTTTACACAAACAGCTCTTACTAGCTTGCCTCCGTTACACTCACCCCCCTAAACCTCACTCCCATCCGGGTCACGGCACCAAATGTAACCTGTCCTACTCAACCCGCTTCGAGCGGGATTCAAGCCTTTAGCATCAGCCGCTAGAGCGCCTCTTTAGGCCAGGGGAGTGAGGTTTACACAAACAGCTCTTTCTGGCATACGTTACATATATAACTAATGACAATATAAACTATATCGGTGAGTAATTCCACATAACGAAGGACATAAAAAAAACTACAATTTGTGAAGTCACATTCACTCTAACAGGCTTGGCATCTTTTTTTGTCCATTGCTGTCTGTGAGATTGTTGTTTGATGTTGGATAAGTAGCAGGAAAACAGACCAACGAAATCAGAGGACGGGTTATGTTGGAAGGAAGTGATGGAGAGTCATTTGGGAGATTGTCTTCAGGTCTTATCAGATTTTCTGCAGCAAAACCACACAGGCCAGTTCATCAGCAGTTCAAGTTGTTTTGAAGATATCAAAATCGAAACATCTTTCAAATAAAAATGTTCCCTCATATATATAGCCTAGTGGTTTCTACATAGATTCTTGAGTATCTGAAAGGCGCATGAGCCGTCTGGATTGGCCTCTCACAGGGTTTGAATCCGGCCCGGGGCCAAGGACCACAAGAATGCTGACACTAGCATTGGAGATAGAGAAGACGGGGACCGGGAAGACTGGAATGATGAAGAAAAATAGAGAAAATTAAAGAATAATGATAGAAGAATGTAGTGAACACAGAGCTCATGTGGATATCATGGACCACAAATGTAAGTAGAGTGAAAGAGAAGGATGGAGGGGGATTTAACTGAACAATGGAGAGGAATGAAGAAATGACAGATAACAAACTGGGATACTATTGCTCAAACCTCAGCATTCTGTAGAAACGGGGGGATGAATGCTGGAGATGGGATTGGTGAGATGTCCAATTAGTAGACAAAGGTTTACAAAATGAGCCTCTGAATTAAGAGCATGTCCACATGTGTGTGTGTTAGCCGAGAACTGTATGCATTGAATAAAGAAATCATCGACCCAGTTCACCTGATACCAACATTCGTCTCAGGTGATCCGTGTCACTGCATGTGGATGTCCATCGTGCAGAAAATGTGCCATGAAGTTCATAAGTACAGGCTTTCTAAACTTTTCTGCTTTTCTCTTGAAGCCATTTTTTAAATATATATATATATATATATTTAGTGTTTTATGGCTTTATTTAAAGGGGTCATATAATGGTACATGCACTTTTACAAGTTGATTGTAGTGAAATGTGTGTTGGCAGTGCCTGTACACAACCATCATAAAATGATAAAAATCCATCCAGTGTTTTTGTTTTAATCTCCTTATATGTTTTCCCCTGCCTCAAATCGAGCCGTTCGACCATGTGACGTCACACGGTCAGAAGCCCCTCCCACGATTGTTGATTGACAGCAGCGTTTCAACACAGACCCGCCCTCGCTCGTGAGGGAGCTGTCAATCATAGTCTGGGCGGACCGGCGCGGTCATTGTTGATATGCTGGAGCACTGTCTATGAGCAGAATGGCGTCTAAGCGATTGTGGTGTTCTGTTCTTGGGTGTAATAACGAACACAGCAGTCATTTTAATGTTCCTAAATCCGAACCGCTGAAGACGCAGTGGCTGAGTTTGTTTTCGAAGGGAATATTCCCCACGAGCAACGTCAATGCTCTCATTTTGCGCGAATCATTTCTCAGCAGACTGCTTTATAAACGAGGGTCAGTATAAAGCTGGTTTTGCTAAGAAGCTGCTCATGAAAAAAGGATCGGTACCAGATATTCGTGTTCCTGCTGAACCTCTAGAACAACTGAAGTAAGTGTAACGTTTTATTAAACTTTATATTAATATTTATATTAATCTTTGCAAATCGCTAGCTGCACGCTTCACAATGAATGCGTCTAAGGTTTACACTCAGGGTACATTACGGCATGTTTTCTATGTATGATGTTCTCAATATAATTCATAATCCCACGTTTATACTGAACAACGCGTTATGGTTATTGTGTTATTT